AAGGTTCTGACCCTAAAGGGTTTAGGATTAAGGCTTAAATGCCCTCTAGGTTTAAATGCCTAAGTCTTAAACCCCAAACCTTTAAACCTTCATCCTATGGGGTTTGAAGGTCAAGGGTTTAGGCTTGATTGCCGAGGGCTTTAGGGTCCTGACCCTAGAGGGTTTAGGGTTAAGGAATAGATGCGTAAACCTTAAACCCTTAAGGTTTAAACTCTATGGGCTTAGGGGGATTAGGTTTTTTTAAACCCTAAGCCTTTAAACCTTCACACTACAGAGTTTAGAGGTGTTAAGGGTGACAAATTGATTACATACTTAGCTTTAAATGCCTGAATCTTAAACCCCAAACCTTTAAACCTTAACCCTATAGGGTTTAAAGGTTAAGGGCTTAGTGTTAATCGCTGTCTTAGGTTTAAATGTCTGAATCTTAAACCCTAAAACTTTAAACCTTCACCCTATAGGGTTTAAAGGTTAAGGGTTTAGGTTGAATCGTCAGCTTGGATTTAAATGTCTAAGTAAAGAATCCTAAACCTTTAAATCTCATCCCTATGGGGTTTAAGGTTAAGGGTTCAATATGAACTGCCGGCATAGGTCTAAATACCTAAACCTTAAACTTAAACCCTAAACCTTTAAATATCTTAACCCTATAGGGTTTAAAGGTTAGAGGCTTAGCGTAAATTGCCGGAATAGGTTTAAATGCCTAAATCTTAAGCCCGAAACCTTTAAACCTTAGCCCAACAGGGTTTAAAGGTTAAGGGTTTAAAATTAGTTGCAGGCTTAATTAGGTTTAAATGCCTACATCTTATATCCTAAACCTTTAAAAATCTTAACCCTATAGGGTTTAAAGGTTAAGGGCTTGGCTACAGGTTTAAATGGCTAAATATTAAACCCTAAGCCTCTAAACTTTAACCCTACAGGGTTTAAAGGTTAAGGGTTTAAAATTAGTTGCAGGCTTAGGTTTAAATGCCTACATCTTAAACCCTAAACCTGTAAAAATCTCAACCCGATAGAATTTAAAGGTTAAGGGCTTAGCTTTAATTACCGGCATAGGTTCAAATGCCTAAATCTTAAACCCTTAACCTTTAAACCTTAACCCTACAGGGTTTAAAGGTTAAGGTTTTTTTTTGCAGGCTTAGGTTTAAATGCCTAGATCTTAAATTATAAACAAAAGCCAACAGAAAGAAAAACCCTCCGTGCGTGTGTGAGAGGGTGAATTAAGGAATACAGTCAAAAATCCGGTCACCGGAAAATCACCAGACAGCATAGGTTTTATCGGTATTTGCGGTACTTTTGCAAAGATCAAGGCCCGCGGTGGGTCCATTGGGGGGGGGGTGACCATATATATATATATGTATATGTATATATATATATGTTTAATATATATATATATGTAGATATATATGGTACCCCCCCCTGGAGAATCTACCTCCAAAGGGTGGGGGTTTAAGACACCTGTAGCTTTTTCGTATCGGGTTGAAGATACCTCTAACGCTTTCGTATAGATTCTTACCCTCTCATCTTCAACAAGATTCGCATTTCAATCTCTACATGATGAGAGTTTCAGATTTCCATATCCAGAGGATGAGGTATAAGAGTTTGTCTTTTGTTTTTAGGTGTGTTGCTTAGAAGCAGTTGGGTTGCTTATAAGCAGTCGGGTTGCTTAGGTGGGGGGGGGGTGTGGGGACCTGTGTAACCCCCCCCCCCCCCCCCCTCCCCCCCCCCCCCCCCCCCCCCCCCCCCCCCCCTCCCTCCGCTCCGCTCCGCTCCCGCTCCAGCTCCAGGGTTTTTTTCTTAAGGTTAAGGGTTGTTTGGGCTGGGCTTGTCTCTAAAACCCTATCGGGGTTAAGGCTTTAAGGCTTTAAGGATTTAAGAGAAGCCCCGACACCCTACAGGTTTAGGGTTTTAATCGCTATGCCTTAAACCTATAGGATCTAGGGCTACACCTTAAACCCTACACCTTTAAACCCTATGGGGTTTCAAGGTTAAGCAACTAAACTTAACCCTTAACCTTTAAACCCTATAGGGTTAAGGTTTAAAGGTTTAGGGTGTAAGATTTAAGGATTTCAAATCTAAGCCGGAAATTAAACCAAAACCCTTAACTTTTAAACCCTACAGGTTTAAGATTCAGGCATTTAACCGGCAATTGAACCTAAGCCCTTAACCTTTAAACCCTATAGGTTTAAGGTGTAAAGGTTCAGGGTTTAATTAAGACTCATGCATTCAAACCTAAGCCCATAGAGTTTAAACCTTAAGTGTTTAAGGTTTAGACATTTCAACCTCACCCTAAACCCTTTAGGGTCAGAACCCTAAAACCCTATGAAGGTTCCAAGGTCTTAACCCTAAAGGCGCTAAAAGTATAAATGCCCAGACCTTAGGTTTTGAAGGCGAATGAAGTTTAGGAATTTAGCCTTGAGGTTTAGGCATTACAATCTGCAAGCCCCATAGGATTTTACAGGTGCAAGATCTAGTGATTAAAACCTAAGGCTTGGGCATTCAATCTGTAACCCTAAAGGCTTGAACCTTAAACCCTATAGAGTCCCTATAGGGTTAGGTATTTAAACCGAATAGGTGGCCTTTAAACTCTATAGGTTTAAAGGTTTAGGGTTTAGGTTGAAATATTTAAACCCTATAGGATGTAAAGCTTTAGGGTTATTCAGGGTGTATCTCTAGAACCCTATCGGGGCTAGCCCTTATAGGGTTTAAACCCTACATGGTTTACCCTTTTGTGGTTTAAGACTTAGGAATTTAAAAATCGTAACCCGAAACCTTGTAGGGTTTTAACCCCTTTACTGTTTCAACGACAAACCCTGAAGCCTTACAGGGCTCACGTTTAGAATCCTTAAACCCTAAACCCGCTAAACCCTACAGTAACAGAACCTTGTAACCCTATAGGGTTTGAGGCTTAAACTCTTGAACTTTAAATCCCATAGGGCTAGGAAAAGCAAAGACAAAGTAGGATAAGTGCCCACATCATGTATGTATATAGGGTATATGTACTGTATATCAATTGCAGATAATGGAGAAGGAAGGACGGTACGCCTCGAACCATAAGATTTGGGGGGGGGGGTACCATCACTCAACCCCAAACCCTAAACCTTAAACCCTAAACCCATCCAAGATCCAAGATTACCTGAAAAGGTAGATTCTCCTGGGGGGGGGGGGGGGGGGGTAGCATATATATATATATATGTATATATATATATATAGGGGCCTTAATAATTAGAATAGGGTGTTGGGGGGGTTTTGTAGTATATTTCTAAAGGTACCATAAGGCAATACTATTAGCAATAACTTTAATAGGTTTTGGGGGGGGGGGGGGGGGGGTTACTGTAGTATATTTCTAAAGGGACCAAAAACAATAAGATTAGCAAGCATTCCGACCCCTCGAGTAGGGGTCTTCGGGCGCATTGGGGGCGGGGGGGGGGGGGTAGGGTTCAGGGCAGTGGGGCTAGTAGGTTTGCCCGAGGGTTCTAAACCCTAAACCCTAAACCCTAAACCCTAAACCCTAAACCCCAAACCCTAACCCTAGGTTCAAGAACATGGGGTTTAGGGCTTGGGCTTCGGAATGGGCTTTGAGATTGAAAGGCCATTCTTTACGATCCTGGGATGCTTCCGGCAGATCCAGGATAAACACTGAAAATCATACACCTGCATATGCTGCATAAGACTCTCTCAACCACCCTCCTCACAAAACAATGAGGAAATTTGAGCCGCCCCGTGAAATCTTGCAGCTTAGGGCGAGGGCTCAGGCGATTTTGTGATGCAAGGAGCTCCCACGGGGGACTTCAAAAACCCACGAGGGTTTAGGGTTTAGGGTTGAGGGACTTGTAAACCCACGAGGGGCTTGTAACCCCGAGCCCGCAACTCGCGCCGGCTCATCAAAAACAGCTGCCTAGACCCTACACCCTAAAACCGAAACTTTGAACCCCCTTAACCCTAAACCCTAAACCCTAAACCCTATAAGCCCTAAGCCCTAAACCTTAAACCCTGCAGGTGGCCCTGCGCTCGCCGTTCGCCACTGGCTGCCGCAAGAGTCGCGCATTGTTTTCACACAGGCCGACGCCATCCCCTCCATCGCGAGGTTCCCGCCCGTCGTCGCTGACGACATCTCCAGCTGCGGCAGTTGACCCTGGGGTTTAAGTCAATTGTAAGGACCAAAAACCGAAACCCTGCCCCAATTTACAGGAACTCTTGAAACTGGGGGTTTTTGAACCGGCCTTTGAACTGCCACCATGCAACAAGAGTTTAGGGTTTAGGACTTTTGTTGTCTTTAAGGTTTAGGGTTTGAAGTTTAGTGTGTTTTCTGAGAAAAACTACCCAAAAGGCCAACCGCAAAGTCCTGTCTGGCCTAAGCCCTAAACCCCTAGACTTCCCGAAGCCCTCGTTTGAAAACCTCTCCCCTATGATACCACCCCGAAACCCTAAACCCTAGACCTTTGAACTCTACCTGCTGAGGCGGCGTCAGCGTCACAGTGATTGCACACACAATCTCTGGCAGGCGGCGAGGAGGGCGGGCCGGCTCCTAGGTGGGGGGTTATAAGGGCTTCTAAGCGTGTCTAAAGGCGAATTCGGGTTTAGGGTTTAGGGTTTAGGGTTTAGGGTTTAGGGTTTAGGGTTTAGGGTTTAGGGTTTAGGGTTTAGGGTTTAGGGTTTAGGGTTTAGGGTTTAGGGTTTAGGGTTTAGGGTTTAGGGTTTAGGGGATACTTATCAGGTTGAGGTTTAGAGAGTCCATAAGAGTTGCCAAGGCTTAAGAATTTCATGCCCAAGGCTGAATGACTGGATTCCAATGCAACTCTGGCTACTCTCTGCGACCCCGTGTGGGTGTTTCCGATGAGGGGCCCCGAATATAGACCCCAAAATAATGGAATTCCACATGACAAGGACCCCAATAAGGAACCCGTAATTCGGAAACCTCCGTGCAGAGGCATGAAGCCAACAACGCTCTGCGAGCGTTTTTGCCTCGGAGCTTCAGACTTTAGACCTCGCTCCTTCTTGGACAGTGCCTATGGGCTGAGCTCAAGTGTTCCGGTCTTGGTCGGACTGGAATCCAAGGAATACAGGATACGAAATACTCGTCCATTGTAGGTTTTCATCTCAGGGAGGTGGTGCTGCCGGGCATACCTGGCCATGGCGTCAAAGACGTCTGTTGTGGAAGCCTTGGTGGTGGGCAGGAAACCGAGTTTGTAAAGGACCTGCCGAACCTGCGCGTCCTTGGGTGCTATTCGCCACTGACCATGCGTGAGATGTGAGAGAAACGCGTGTCGAAGCTTCGACTCCACTTCGGCAGTCGTGTCTTCCTGACTGGGCAGTGCATCTAGCTGCTTCCTCAATGCATACTGGTTGTCTGGGATGTTCACAAAGACCAACATGGCCTCACTCAGATCTGCATTCATGTCTCCATCCATGTAGCCTAGCCTGTTCAGAGCTCGGCGCACCAGGTTCTTTGAGTCCTGCAGCATGCACGGCCCGCCGCCAAGAAAAAGTCGTCTCGCCAGGCCGCTACCGAACTTGTTCAACTGCGACTTGGTCGGCCCTCCAACGGCAGTCACAGGAAGCAGGAGCACCATATCATGTGTGTAGCGTTGCCACTTCTTCCCAGTGTCGTGTTGAAGTATCCGATACACCTCCTCGATGGCAATTTGCTGTGGAAACACAGTCAGGGGCCCCAACTGATTGGAGAGCCAGAACTTTGCCGTCGCATGAACCAAAAACTCCCTGCAGCCCTGGGCCACGTAGCCCAGGTCCTGGAGAAAGTTGTTACATGCACTCATCTGCGCAGAGTTGTCGTATGGGAAACATGGGTCACTGAGCCGCACGTCACCGCTTCCGTCCTCATGCAGAATGGCTCTGACCTTTGGGAAGCGATCCACGGGAGCTTCTAGTGCGTGGACTGGGACGCCAGCATTCCGATAGCGCTCGATGAGTATACGCATTTTGGTTGGAATGAACACTGAGATCTTCATACCCTTCGCTGTAACTTCTCTGATTACGCCCAGAAAATCGAAATCAGAAATCAGAAGCGCAAAGCTTTGGGTGTTGGTGCAAGTCCGAAGCACGCTGACAATTGCCTCATCATTGGCTTCGCCTGCTTGGCTCACATCTCGCCGCTCAACTGCTTGAAACGTGATCTTGGGACTCTGGAAGAACTCCCTCCACTTCGTGTTGCCATCGCGACCAGGTGGTCCGAAGAGAGTGGCAGACACCAGCTGGCCCCTTTTCTCCAGTTCGCGAATCACATCCTGAATTTCTTGGATGCTGTGAACATCCGAATCCACAAGGAGCTGTGTGAGCCCGGAAGCATGGATCTGTGATGCACGACCATCGCATCGACAAACTGTGCTGATGCCATCGCCTCTGCTAGGTTTGAAAGCCCGGCCCTTGACTGCTCAGGCCATCTGTATCACAACTTAAAGACAACATCGGGAACAACACGATGTAGGATTTCTATCACTAGTATCCCCAGAGAGGACACCCCACATATGCTATGAGGAACCCCGTATACACTCGTCCAAAACAAAAAAAAAGCCTACTGTGGAGACAACCCGGTGCTGAATGCTGCTCCGAGGCCAGCCACATGGCCACAAAGGCACAGCCAAGCGTTTGGTGAAGCTGCGCGTCTAGCTGCTTCCGCAGACGCCCATGCTTGTCCCCAACACTGCACCTAGGTTGGCCTACAAGCTCTGACTTTCTTCAACAAACAAGGTGCCGCATAAACCCAATGTGGGGAGTTCCCAAGTAGGAGTAGGAGTACCCCTTTGATACCCCAAATAGCATAAAGGGAGCCCCCCCCCCCCCCCCCCAAAAAAAAAAAAAAAAAAAACCTACTTTGGGAAAGCCCCATACAGGTAAATCGAAAATGTCCAAATGTCCCACCTAGGCACAGGCTCGGTGGCAGGCCGCGGCTCGGACTTTGAAAGTTGCGTCGCGCTTCGCAAGGACCAGAGGTGTAGCACACGCAGTGAACAAAGGCATCCATGGCCACTTGCTGATTCTGGTACCCGATATAGTATATACTTGGGCCTTAAAAGGGTTCCCCATATAGCTTTCGGGCCTAAGCATATACTATATAGGTACATGGATCCTTAGGGTCGGGTCTGCTACGAAGGAACAGCACCGTGGCTATGTGGCTATACGAGCCGCTGTGAGTGAACCCTAACCCTCTACAAACCCTACAGCCAGTATGACCAGGTACCCTAAACCCTAAACCCTAAACCCTAAACCCTAAACCCTAAACCCTAAACCCTAAACCCTAAACCCTAAACCCTAAACCCTAAACCGTGACCGAGGAGGCCCCGTAAGCCTGGTGCGCACAACCTTTACATGGGGGGAAGGTTCAGAAGGACTGAGCTGGGCGTGATGGAGATTCTCAAGTATATATACATCGATATTATGATGGGATACGATTGGCACTAGAAGCCATCGACTATTGGCCGACTTCGGCCAGGAGACACTCCCAGGGGCTTAGCCAGGTTGCGTTGGCGTGGGCGTGCCACTAGACTCAAGAGTAACCTAGGACTAACAAGGCTGCCACTTTCGGAGTAACCCTAAACCCTAAACCCTAAACCCTAAACCCTAAAGAAAAGGGAATCAGGGCCTCTTCTGGGTCTAAGGGCCCAGGCCATGAAGCATCTTCAACCCGCTGTCCATACCATGCCGTGCTCTGATCCCTAAAGCGAGTAGTTTAGGGTTTAGGGTTTAGGGTTTAGGGTTTAGGGTTTGGGGTTTGGGGTTTAGGGTTTAGGCCAAGCATCCTCGGCAAACACCTTACCAGATCAAGCTCCCCTTCTCCATTGCGATTTAACCAAGAGTTGCTCGAGCGATCGACAGCTCCGACATACGTATGACGAGGCCTAAGCCCTAAACCCTAAACCCTAAACCCTAAACCCTAAACCCTAAACCCTAAATCCTAAACCCTAAAGCTCTACGCGAGTTGTTTCAACTCAGAATCTACCCGGAGGTGCATATGATAGGCTGAAGACAGTAAACCTGATGGTGGCCCCATGCAGTATAAAGAGAACCCTAAACCCCAAACCCAAAAGGTTTGGGGATTGGGGTTTAGGAGTTTGGAGTTTGAGGTTTAAGGGGTTAGGGTTTAAGGGCCCCGGACTTTTTGTTGGGGCCCTTGTTTTTGTTCAAGACCCCCCTAAGTCTGTAAGGGTTTAGGGTTTAGGGTTTCGGGTTTAGGGACGGGGAACTTCGCGCGGAAAATGTTAAGAGGCAACCTCCTACAGGGTTTCAACCTTAGACAGGGCTGCGAGTTTGGAGGGGTCCAGGGGTTTAGGGTTTAGGGTTTAGGGTTTAGGGTTTAGGGTTTAGGGTTTAGGGTTTAGGGTTTAGGGTTTAGGGTTTAGGGTTACAACCTTAGACGGGGTTGCGAGCTTGGAATTTCTGATATGCTGGAGGGACAGGGAAAACCCAAACCCTAGGACGCTCGAGCCCACATCCTGCACATCCTAAACCCTAAACCCAAAACCCCACACCCTAAGCCCTAAACCCTGAACCCTGCACCCTAAATGAACCCCAAACCCTAAAACCCTAAACTCCAAACCCCCTCTTCACCCTGAAACCCTCCAAGTGGTCCTGCAGTTTGCTCAGCGTGCGGGTGACCTGCAGTGGTCAGGAGCTCTTCGGCTACGAACGTTGCGACATTCTAGTTGAAGGAAGATGGGTAAGTTTAGGGTTTAGGGTTTAGGGTTTAGGGTTTAGGGTTTAGGGTTTAGGGTTTAGGGTTTAGGGTTTAGGGTTTAGGGATAAAATTTAGGGTTTAGGGTTTAGGGTTTAGGGCTACGGGTTTACGATGCGAAACCCATCTGCTCTCGAAGTAGTCGATGGCTGTGAGGGATTTGGGATCATAAGAGTTTGTCTTACTTACTGCTTTTTCGCAGGGAGGTACCCTATATGCCCCTGTATGCCCTTTCAGGGATCTTACAGAGCACCTGATTTCCCCCATCCCCTACTAAGAGCCAGAGGGTTGTTGTTCTTAGGATCCAGGGCTCTGGGGCCGAATACATAGCAGCGGTACAGGGTTTAGGGTTTAGGGATTAGGGTTTAGGGTTTCGGGTGTAGGGTGCATTCTTTAGAATCGATGCTAGGGCTGGCCACTCCTGCGAAACGTAGCAAGCGTAGCAAGTAACCCTAAGCCTTAAGCAATGCGCTCGAGTCAAACTCCTCTGCTCAAAGTCAGTCCGCAAGGGTCCGGGTCTTTGTAGCGGGAATACATGGCCCAAAGACATTACCAGAGTCCCTACAATGTAGGGTTTAGGGTTTAAGGGTTTAGGGTGTAGGGATACAGAGTTCTCTTAAGTGAGGGTCTTTTCGGTGTCCTTCGTTTATAATGGGCCGTACTATGCAGGGACCCCCCCCCCCCCAAAAAAAAACTCGATAACTGAATTCAGATAACTACCCACATGGATCCTTTTTTTTGGTGGCCCTTGAGCTCAAGAGAAGCTTTCTCAAATACAGTGGGATTCTATATAACCAAATCAAGTTACCTTGTTTATCTAGTAGGGTTCTATATAACCAAGAAAATTCAAGGTTACCTGCCCAGTTCCTAAGTCACGTAGAGTGACCTCAGGATTGCGGGCTGCCTTTTGAAAACCCCGAATCCGAAAGGGTCCTAAGTACCTATATGGGCGACACTTACCCAAACCAGAATTGTAATTCCTATTACAGAAACACTACTTTCTGCCATGTAGGTGCTGAGGACCTTTTGGGGGAATTGACACTCGAAACCCTCTGTGTCGGAGAGATCTAGACTCTCCGGACTGCCAGGGTAGAAGAGGGTGGGGAGGGGGGAGGGAAAAAACCCTAAACCCTGCCCTAAACCCTCCCTGTTCTTTCCCTCCCCTTCCCGAAGGTCCGAAATTCCGAAGGCTTCTGGACCAGGACATAGAACTACCCTTCTCTGTGTCCCCACGCCATGCCATCTTGCATGGACTCCTCATACTGGATCAGCTCCACATAGTCAGCGCCTCGAAGCTACTTCGTAAGACTGGCAGGAGTTGTTTAGGGCTGTTTGGTAAACCCTAAACCCGAAACCCTAAGCCGCAGGTTTCAGGCTGCTTTTGGTGTTCGTGGTTTCGGGGTTTCGTGGAGCTCTTCTCAACGAATGTTTTCCTCTGTAGAGTCCCGTTTAGGATCGGACTCCTTGCCAACGGTATCCCTCCCAAGAAGAAAGGACCTACCTAAAACAGAGGGGTCAGAAAAATACTACTGGGATTCCCCTATGGTCTGTAAATGTTTTAACAATAAGACTCCCCAAAACCCTATTCTAATGATTGTTCTGTTAAGGCCCCTGTATTGGACTCCCCATGGTGGTTCCCATTTTTGCGGGCAAAGGCCACTTCTACACTTGGACTACAAACCGTAAAGTTGGGTGGTTTAGGCTTTTCATCCCCTCAACAAAGCTAGGTTGCCCAGTAACCTAGGTGCGTCTCGCCTGTTCTTGCAGTACCCTAAACCCTAAACCCTAAACCCTAAACCCTAAACCCTAAACCCTAAACCCTAAACCCTAAACCCTAAACCCTAAACCCTACCCTAACCCTAAACCCTAAACCCTAAACCCTAAACCCTAAACCCTAAACCCTAAACCCTAAACCCTAAACCCTAAACCCTAAACCCTAAACCCTAAACCCTAAACCCTAAACCCTAAACCCTAACCCTAAACCCTAAACCCTAAACTTGGTATAGGTAACCTGCAAACAGCCCTGTTTAGAGCTGCCCATGTCAGCTCTTCTTAAGGGCGTGTACCTGCGTGCCTTCAATTTTGGGGTTTAGGGTTTAGGGTTTAGGGATTAGGGTTTAGGGTTTAGGGTTGCCAGAAGAGTCTGTGAAGAGGACCTGAGCATCCCGCAAGAAACACGCAGCATTCCCTCGACCCTGAAGCCTACACCCTCTATGCCCTAAACCCTAAGCACTATACCCTAACCCCTGTATGCCCTAAACCCTAAAGCTTACCTACACC